TGCGTTTTCTAAGTAATTTTGACGATTATAATACTTATTTTATCAATTAGCCCGTATTAATCAATGAACGTTAGTATTTTTCTCTGTTTTTCTGCTCATTGACCCATTCTGCTCTTGGACCATTCTGCTTTTTGCTCCGCCTCCGGTCTGGGGCCAAGCTTCCCCAATTAAGACAATTATCTTGCAATTTTTCAATAAAACTATCAACTTCAAAAACACAACAGTCAAAATTAGCGGCAAACAGAGGGTTACGCGCACAATAGCACTTGTGTTAAATTGAAGCGCAGCGGAGCAAGTGGTCGCTAATCGCCAATGCCGCGTTTGAAGTTAGCTATCACACTTTTTAAATATTTTGAGTCTGCTAAAAACACCGGTCTGCTAAAAAAACTGGTCTGCTAAAACCCCTAGCACCTTATGTATGTTTAGAATATAGTTGAGTTTTGAAATCAGACAAGCGTATCAATGGTCTTCCGAAATGTTCCAAAGGTTGCCGGGGATCAAGCCGACGGGACTTCAAGCCAAATCGAATAATTAGGATTTTCAGGCCAAACGTTTTGTCAAAAAGTTACAAATTATCAGTTGTTTGAAAAACGCTTTGAAAAAATTCTCAATTTCTTGAGCTTTTTTTCTACAAGTTAATGGCTTTTTTAAATTTTTGGGCCTCTAATTAATGTTTAGGAAAATTAAAAAAATCTTATTTTTTATTGAAGGTTTTTTTCAAGTGTATGATTTATGCGCTTCACAATCCGGCTGATCTAACTATCTGATGACCCTCTTAAGTGGAGCATTGTCACGAGGAACACTTACTATGAACTAAACTTGCTGTTTTTTCTAAATGAAACTTTTTACTAATGAAAATTTAGCGCTTTGAGGTGCTTGTGAGGTTGAAATTTCGGCTTGAAGTCCCGTTGTCTTGTTGTCCTAGAACCGTTCCAGATGTGGGCGTCCCTCGCGATGGAGGGACCGAATTTTGGAACTTTTTTGTCAGTTATTTTCAGTAAATTAGAATTGAGTATTGTAAAATTGAGAAAAAAAATCACGGAAATCTCATATAAATTGAATAAATCTGGGATATTAATACAAATATTGTCTGATTAGAAAAGAAACACAAAAATGTTTTCAAATTTTGCAAAATTTAAGTGGAGCATTGGCAAAATCTAACACCGATTGTTAAAAAATTGAAAATCAAACTAAAAAAGAAATTTTTTTTGTTTATCTGCAAGAAAAGTGCACCAAATTTTTGTTTTGCTGCTATAATCCATTTTCTGTTAAGAATGAGTTTGGTTTTGAGCAAAAGCCATCTAGTTTATAGTAACATCTGTGGATTCTGATTGGTTTAAAGTTTTCCATCAGTCGATTTCTGCATAATGAGAATACCCCCCGTTCCAGGGGATTTTACGTACTTGCAGTTTTTTTGTATTCGGTTCAAATCTTTACTTAACAACTTGACGGGATTTGTAAATGAATTGATTTAACAATCAATTTTACAAATGAAAATTTTGTAATTGTTTTTCAAACAAATTTTTCTTTATTAAGTGAAAAAAGACTTTATTATTTGCTTAACCAAAAAGACCCCTCGGATGGATTGTTTTAAGGGTAGGCAACCAGACCAAACTTCAAACTTTGATTTGGTCGTCTATCTTTATAAATTAATACATCCGAGGGGCCTTGTAGGTTATACCTTCTAAAAAAAAGAAAATCGAAAACGTCGATTCTTTTAAGAAACGCGAGACATCATTATAGGGCCGGTTAAAGTTTTTTTTGTTGGCGTTCTTTCTGCGTAAATTTCATGAATTTTGCACCAAATGCGTTTTTAATTGACATTGTGCTCGCGATTTTTACATTATTTTGATTTGATTCTTTGCTCGAGATATCAGTCCACTATTTTTAAGCAAAATCGATCCAATTTTTTGCTGGAAGTTTTCATTTTCACTTTTCATCATTTCGGGGTTTATGACCAGAGAAACCAAAGTGATTCATACTTTATCTCAATACGTTTATCTTGACGCTGATTTGATTAACAATTTAAGAAATAGCATCCAAAAATAACAAGGGTTGTCGGTTGCTGTGCAAGCAGCACACAATGTTCCAATCACATCAATTGAAAACTGAAAAATAAAGGTTTTCCTGTTTTTTCAAACACAAGTCGCTTTTTGGGCGTGATTAGATCGATAAATTAGGTTATACAATAGTGAATTATGCATACGCGAAAGCAGTTGTCTTTGAATAAAAATAACTAAAAAAATTTGCAATTTTTTTCCTATTTTTTTTTATTGTGTTCTAGTGTCAACAAATTATTTTGATCAGTTAAACCTTACATGTGAATTAAATTTCCCTCATTTGCAAAAATATGGATTCTTCCTTCACTTTTAATGAATACAGCTATTTCTTTCTAACCAAGATCACTACACAATCTAATTTATAAAAAACTAAATCTGTTATAAAAAATTCACTTGAAAGAGCGCCCTAGGACCGAAAATCTGCTTGTTTTCGTGTGTCTCAAAGCCGGAAAAAAACTGTTGTTTTTGCTTCTCTTTGTAAAGAAATGAAAATGAGAATTCCTCCAAAAAGCTAAGTCGTAAAACCAAAATTCAAAACTGAGGAAAACTGAAGAAAAAAGCAAAAAGATTTATGTGCGCTCAAAATTAGGCATGAAAGTCGGTATAACATTTGCAAAACCCAGGAATCACAAAAATGCCTGGCAACCAAAACTTTTTTTTTAATAAAAAAAACATGTCAACAACCTCTTTTGCGCATAATAATTCCGAATAAAAAATCAATTGATGCGAAACAGTTTTTGTTTGGTCGGTATATTTGTGTTGGATTGTTTCTAGCAAAGTCTATGCCAATGTTTGAAAAATGTATAGTAGTGTCATCTCTTAGTTTATAATTTTTCCGGAAACTAATATTATGATTTTTTAAAGTTCTCTATTATGATTTTTTAAATATTTTTTGATTGGAATTGTAATCAATGTTTCTTTTTCTGGATAAAATACTTTCCTTTTCTTTGCTAACTTTTTTCAAAAAAAAAAAATTGATGAAATTTTCAATTATTAAATTTTTACATAAAAATATTTCAAAAGAACTAAAAAAATCTTCTGCTACTGGCTGTTATGTTTGTACTAAGTTACTCGCGGAGTTTTTTTTTTTTTTTTCTAATTACTAAATCATGTTTTTTATTTTTGTTTATTACTGAATAAATTTTGAAGAAAAAAAACAGTTTGAGTGTGCATAACTTTTTTGTTTTTTCAAACAAAAAAATCAAGTACCCCAATTAATAACTGGAATGGTTCGAGTAATATATTACATCAAAGCACTCTAAACTGTGATTCGATTGTTTTTTTTTTCAAAAGTTGTCTCTGTGTCAAAAAAAACTGGTTCAAATTTTGAAGTTTTAATCTAACTTCGAGCGAGTAACAGACTTAGTTGCTCCTCGCACTTACAGCTCTGTTGCACAACAAATCTTAAAACTGTAAGATGCTCCTTTTGCTTTCGCTGTTTTAAGTTTCAATTTTATGCAGACTTTAGTCATGTCAGTCTACTGATTGATTTGATGCTTATCTTAAGCTTATGTATTGTCTACGACATTTGAACTTTTTTCTTTGCCGAACCTAAATTTGCCACATTTTCGACATGAATATGCCGCCAAATTAGTAAACTGAACGACTCAAAACTCAAAAATCAAGAGAAATCATTTAAAAAAGAAACAACTGAACTACGATCTGAAATTGGAATCCTAATCATCCAAAACGTATTGCCATTGTCATTGGCGCACAATAGTTTTTTTAAAAAAAGAAACCGAAACCAAGGTTTTTTTGTTTGAAAAATCAACGAACCCATCCTTATACTAACCAATTGTTTACTTTTTTTCAACTTTTTCTATTGTAAGTTCCAAAGAAAAAAAAACTCAAAATCATTTTTTTTGTTACAACAATTGCGAGGGTTCCATGTAATCAAAAGAATTACACTCCTTGTACTCCTTACAAGCAGCTTCTCAGACTCAGTCCCAGAATTACACTCCTTGTACTCCTTACAACCAGCGTCTCAGACTGAAGAGAAACACCGAGATGGCACAGAAATATCAGGAGACCATCGACATCGACTTGCAGAAAGGTTTCATAGTCAAAGTTGATTATTCCCATGAAGACTCAACAGGAAAATGGTACCTTCCTCATCATCCAGTGACAAAAATCAATAAACCTGGCAAGGTACGCCGAGTCCTTAATGCATCGAGCATCTACAAAAGAGTATCACTCAACAGCAACCTACTAACTGGACCAGACCTCCTCACAAACCTTACTGGAATCGTTATGCGATTTCGCGAGGACCAAATCGCTATTTCTGCCGACATTGAAGCAATGTTCATGCAGGTCTTCATGAGCCCAGAGGACCAGCCGTATTTGCACGACCTTCCAATACAACCCGCAACCTTCCAATACACCCGCCACATCTTCGGAGCTACCGACTCACCATGTGTTGCCTGCTACGCCACTCGACTATGTGCGAAGGACAATGCCGACAAATATCCAGCCTTGGAGCAAATCACAAAACGCAACATATACATGGACGACCTATACAAAGCCGTTTCAACACCGACGGAAGCGACACAGTTAATGAACGACCTTCAAAAGATGTTCAGCCTTGGAGGTTTCAACCTCACAAAATGGACCTCAAACTCTCAACAATTCCTCACAACAGTCTCAACAATTCCTCACAACAGTCAACGCGAACCACTTGGAAAACAGCGACAGCCTCACCAAGAAGGAACGACCCCTCGAAAGAGTTCTTGGAGTGAAATGGAAACCAGACACGGACGTCTTTCTTGTGGAAGCAAAGAAGTTTCACGCCATTGACAAGAAGGACTTAACGCAGCGCAAACTATTGAAGTTTGCTCTTCAGTCTTTGAACCGCTTGGAATTACGATGCCACTGACATTTCGACTACGACAATCACTTCAACATGCCTGGAGTAATGGACCTCAATGGGACAAACCTCTAAACATGGAGCATTTAACAGACCTCAACGATTGGATAGACAAGCGAAGCCAATTCAACGACATCTGCCTGCCCCGGATTTACTTCAAACCAGAAACGAAGATACTGGAAACCCAACTCCATGTATTCAGCGACGCCTCCGAACTTGCCTTAGCATCAGTTGCTTACCTCAGAATCAGATACGACGACGACACAACGGAACTCAAGTTCGTCATTGGAAAAACCCGAGTAGCACCCATCAGCAGAATGACAATTCCAAATCTCGAGCTTCAAGCCGCCACTAACGGAGCTAAACTGTCTCGTTTCATCAAAGAACAACATGACATACGAATCGACAGTACGACACTATGGACAGATAGTACAACAGTTCTTCATTGGATAAACTCGCCGAATCAACGACACCGGATCTTCATTGCCAACCGCCTGAATTTCATCATGGACTCAACATCTTCACTGGACTGGAGATACATCAGTAATCGACTTCAACCGATTTAGCACTTGGACAAGAGCACTCAGATTTACTTCATATGTTCTTCTCTTCGCAGAAAACATCAAAAGGAAGACACGCCAGAGCCTCTCACTTCAACACCTCACCTTAGGATTCGCATGGATCATTAAACACTCACAGAATCAATCATTCCCCAAGGAAATAGCATGCCTGACAAAGAAATCTGACATTCCACCCTGCAGCCCTCTACAACCTCTTTGCCCCTTCATCGACGATCACAAACACTTACGTGCCAAATGACGACTACAGAAAGCCCCGCTTCTACTTTGCAGCCGACATCCAGCCATTCTGAACGCAGAAAACTACCCAATACAACTTTTCATGAAGCAAACACACGAAATAAATTCCCATTGTGGAATGGAACACATCCGAAGCATTCTTCAGCAGGACTTTTGGATCATAAGATCACGCAAGCATCTGAAGAAAACTATTCGACAATGCATACCTTGCCGAGGCCTTCGACAGGAACCAGTGAAGCCTCTGATGGCAGATCTACCCCTACAACGACTCCCTTTATCGGAAAACAGTTACCCCTTCTACTCAACGGGAATTGACTTCTTTGGACCCTTTGCCACGCGGAACAACGACGAGTACAGTAAGCGATACGTTCTCTTCTTCACCTGCCTCGTCACGCGAGCAGTTCATTCAGAAATATGCCAGCAAATCGACACAAACTCAACTCTACAAGCCATACGCCGTTTCATCGCTAGACGCGGTAAGCCCAGGATCATCTTCTCTGACAACGGAAAAGCCTTCGTTGCAGCTGACAAGGAATTACAGGAAAGCCTTTCTGAGATTCAACACAGCAACGACTTCAACAATCAATGCCAATCACTTGGAATAACCTGGAAGTTCAACCCACCTGCAGCTCCTCACTTTGGTGGATCATGGGAACGCCTCATAAAAACATTTAAGATTGCCTTATACAAAGTCATTGGAACACGGACACTGGACGTCGAAACTCTGTCAACCTTCACGTGCGAGGTTGAAGTTATGATGAATTTTCGCCCGCAAACCCACGTCTCACCAGACCCAACCAAAGACGAGCCCCTTACACCCAATCACCTTCTACTAGGACGACGAACAAACAATTTGCCTCCCGGATTGTTTCTCCCTCGCCACACAACGGAAAGAGAACTTGGAAACAAGCTCAAGCCTTGAGTCAACAGTTCTGGAACAGATACCTCAAAGACTACTTGCCAACCTTGACGACCCGAACGAAATGGACAAAGCAAGTGGAAAATCTTCAGCAAGGAGACCTTGTATGGATACTGGAAGACCTAACGCCTCGAGGTCTTTGGCCCCTGGGACGGGTACTTCGTACTTTCCCTGGTGCAGACGGAATCGTTCGCTCCTGCAAAATTAAAACTAGCAGGGGGATTCTACACCGACCAGCAGTCAAACTCTCGCGAGTATTGGACCACAGTAACAACTAGATGACCAACATGATCAACGACAGCTAACAACTAGATGACCATTACAATCAACGACGACGTACCATCAGCTTCAACGAACAGTTTTCTAATTTGCAACCTGCAAATGGGCCCGGCTATGTCTACGACATTTGAACTTTATTCTTTGCCGAACCTAATTTTGCCACATTTTCGACATGAATATGCCGCCAAATTAGTAAACTGAAAGACTCAAAACTCATCAAAAGAAATCATTTAAAAAGAAACAACTAAACTACGATCTGAAATTGGAATCTTAATCATCCAAAACGTATTGCCATTGTCATGTATCATCGAGGTTCAGCCCACAATCCCGAGATTTGCCAGGATTATTTTTCTTGTAGATTAATCGCAATCGTCGGTGCAAAAATACTGAGTATTGATCAGCCAATTTTTGACGTCGCGCCAAATAATATTTCCATCTCTTTTGTTGCTTTTGCGCAGCAAAAGGAAATTAACATAATTTCCGTGCCAACTGATTCTTCGTTGGGGGAGTATTCTCATGATGAAGGGACTGAATGACGGAAACTTATAACCAATCAGAATTGTTAGACGCTCCTAGTGGCTAAATGAACTTAGCAGAAAACCGAAGTTATAATTAACAGAACATGAGATATAGCAGCACAACAAAGTTTTGCTGTAGAACTCGTGCAGATTTAAAACATTTTTTGTTATATTTTTCCCTTTTAAAATCGGCTTTAGTTTGTTTTTAAAGAGCTGACTTCAATTTCGCAAGATATGAAAATTCATGTACCTGTTTATTCCCTAATCTGTCAAAATGAATTTTAATGACCTTGACCTTTTCGCTTTTTTTGAGATTGTTGCGATTTCTCTGAGATTTTTTAATATTCAATTCTAATTGACTAAAAATAACTTGAAATAAATTTCCACCATTCAGTTCCTCAAATATAGGGTACGCCACCTTTGTTGTCAAAAATTGCAAAAATTTTTGAGCTGCTTCCTTTTATGAGGGGATCTATTTGCTGGAAGAAAACCTCTGTTACAAAACTAAATTTCAATCCTTTTGATTAGTTTCATTATATATGTGCCAAATTTTCAGCACTGTAAATTTAATAAAATGAAAAGGAAATGAAAAAAGATTGAAACTCTTTGCTTGAATAATTCTCGCTAAATGCTAAGATTTTACACTTTTATCGCAACAGCTGATCATGCAGTTAGATTGATTCTAATCAATTAAATCTCAAACCAACATTTGCAAGTTTAAACACATAAAAAACACGAAAACTTGTGTATATTTGAATACAGATCTCCAGCATTCATAAAACATGAATAGGCCATACAAATTTTCAATCGGTGACGTTCATTTTGTCGGCGCTTACACAAAAGAAACCGTTTTGGCAGCTCAAAATTATCAAGGTAGCCCTGACGATATTTATTTGTCAACGTACCCTAGATCAGGAACCACATGGGTCCAAAACTTCTTAATTGGGCTTGTATATGGCTGCGATGCTTTGAGGGACACCAAAAACTTCGATGAGATATTTCCTTATTTGGAAGTGGATTTAAACGGGGTTCGAGGCTATGAAGAAGCTGAAAAATCGTTAAGACGAGCCAGGCTGCTGAAGACTCACTTGCCGCCGCACATGGCTCCTTCTCAATTGGTCTTCGAGAACCGAAAGCAGGTACGGATTGTTCCATCTTAACAAAAAAAGTACCTTACGGTAGCTGCAACCAAACCATTTTGGAACAGTTTTACATTTGATCAAAAACTGTTTTGTTTACAAAAAAATAAAGAAGTTTTAAAATTTTGAAGATTTTGACAAAGAAGCAAAGAAACAGAATTAATTAAAACACACCACCTCATTTTTCATTTTAAGGCAAATTGTAAGTCTGTCCAAAAAAGTTATCATACTTAAAAACTGCAACACTTATTTCAGATTATTGTCGTTCGCAACCCCAAAGACGTGGCCTTGAGTCTATTCCAGTTCTACCAAAAGCAACCTGTTCTGAAAGCGGCCTTGGAAAACAAAGACCTGCGTGCCTTTCTAGACGACTTTCTGGTGGGAAATGTGCTCTATGGAAGCTGGTGGAACTGGATAGATGCCTGGCTCAGGAAATATTGGTTAGCTTAAAAAATAGAGAAAAATAGCTGAACTGTGTTACCTAAACGAGTTCAATATTCAAATTAAAAAATGAAATATCAGCATACTTTTATTAACAACACAAATTTTACAAAATTAGAATGGTAATAATGGCCACCTTTTTAATAATGAATTGATGTGAGAGCTGTTCGAGTGATACATATTAACATTTGGATTTCAGTTAGGACTTGTAACTTAGAGGGGGTGGAGTGAAGATGCACAGGGGCAGAGCGGATTTCGGGAGTGAGGCGATTGCCCCCCCCCCCTCAGGGACTCGACCCCCTCACCAACCAAATAACAGATGTTTTGTTTTGTTTTGTTTTGTTTTGTTTTGTTGGTATATTTTTATGACATCCATTTTGGTCAACCAACCTTAAAATTTTTCCAAAGGCATCAATATATTCTAAATTTGAAGGGGAGCACGCGCCAAAAAAACTCATTTTTTTGGTCAAAACTTTCCCAAAAGTGCGCAAAGAAGTTTAAGACTGCGGTGCAAACTGCGGTCGACTTAAGACCCCTCAAGAAAATGCTAGATTCAACCCTGAAGGTGCATCGGAAAAATTACCATGAAATTCAAATCACCTAGCTCAAATATTTTCTCAGGGCAAACAGCATGCATTACAATTTTTCACCTCCTTGTTAATAAAAAGTGTGAAACGATCTGGAGTTTGACGAGCGTGTGAAATAAAAGATTCCGGCTTGCTTCAAAAAAGCTGACTATTACTCACAAAAAAGTCACCGATCTCATCTTTGCGTTCTTTTCTCGGAATTGAAAATTTCTCAGAAGACGATTTGACAGATCTGAAGACTCTCACGTCTATGCAATCTATTAAAGATCGATTGGATTCCGACTGGAAATTTAAGGACACTGGACTAATTAATAAAGGTCAAACCAACAGGTGGAAAGATGAGTTTCCGGAAGGATACGGGGAAAAGTTTGATGAGTTGACCAGGAAAACTTTTGGCGATTCGGACATAGTTGAACGTTTTGTATGATTTATTTGGGACAAATGATATCAGACGATACAAAGCGTTTGACTTCTCACTTAAAATTTTTTCTAGATAATTTAATTTTGAAAATTCTAAGTGAGTGCTGAAGAATAAAATTATTACCCAATAGAAAGTATTTTGAAGCAAAGGCTTCTAACAAAAGCCCCACACCGCACATACATTTAGAGCATACTAAAAACCATAGTAACGGATACAGGGGGAAAGCAAGGTGTTCGCGGACGCAAGCGTGTTTGAAAATAGTTTGAATGTTATGAAATCATGAGCCAGATTCTCCAACGAATGCGAGGCACCAAAATTCTTAATATCAAAACTCATTGGTTCTTTCAGAGTGAAAAAAAACTAAATCTGATGCATTTAAAGCCGAATTTTTCCGCCCACAATGAAAAAAACCATTGCGAACATTATTAATGTCCTGCAGAGAACAGTTTATGGTATTTAGATGCAACGTTTGAACACCCACCCCGGTAGCTTGCTTTCCTCGGGGAATTGGTCGCCCAAACAAAAAATTGCAACAAAAAACATTTCAAACACGGATTTTTTCCAACATTTTTTAATCGACATTTGTATAAAATAACTTCATTAGATCAATTGTTTGCATGCTATGAATACATCAATCATCTGCTTGCGTTTCTACATGTCTTTTGTAGCGTTTCATCGTCTTTGATTGGGGGGTGATTGCTCAATTGGTCATTACATGGGGGTGTAATAAAATTTTAACTTGAGTAGAAGGCGGAGCATTTTACACATGCTACGCTGGAAACTTCCTGTGGAAAACTCTAGGAAAAAAAATTCAATTCGAAGTCTGGTTTCTTTGGTTCCTCATCTTGCCATGATAAAACAAATACCAAATTAGTTTAACTCAACAGAAGACCAACTTCCTTCCAACTTTCAGCGGTTGAAACAACAACTTCATGAACAGAACCCCAGAAAAACCTGCAAAAAGAGTCCGGATCTTCAGCTTTTAAGTAACATGGATTAAATACTCGCAGATAATTATATTCTGCCTAACAGCATTTTAAGCAACAACGCTTTATATCGTGATGGATATAGTTATTGCTGTTTAAAAATTGGAGATGAAAAATTGATGCACAAACAATTAACACTGGAGCAAAAAAGAAGCCAAAACAGATGACTGTTCAAAATTTGCTATTGCTACAAAATTGGCTTTAATAAGCTAAGATTAACATATTTGGTATTCATGCTTAACCATGTAGAACAATTCATTTTACCATAAAACTGATGCCAATAGCAGGTGAGGGAAGGAAAAAAAAGCTAGATTCGTTTTGGTATATATATAAAAACTATACGTAGTTAGCCTTAAAAATGACCCCGAAGTAAATACCAAAAAATTTAGCAAGGAAGTTAGAGAGATTGGTATTAATGAATCTGACTCTGATTAGTGCTACTTAAAGCGGATCCGTACTGTCAATTTCCTAAGCAAATTAGATCATTACACCAATCCGTTTGCTAAAATAAAATGTTTCCAGCAAACTTAGCAAGCAATGAAACTGAAATATCTTCAATGATTTCATAGTGAATCGGTTCGCAGTAGTGTATGTTTTGTAAACAATAGCAGTAAGCGATGAAAAATTGAAATTTTCCATCATTTCATAGCGCGGATGGGGTCGCAAATGACAGTTTTGTAGGCAACCTCATCAAGCCATGATACATTACATTAATTCGTTTTTCTCTGAAAACTCATCAAGCGACGAAACTTCAAAAATTATTAGGTTAGTTCGTAAAGTTAAAGTTTTTCTGAGAAAACTCATCAAGCGATGAACCTTTGTGCTATTTGAAGTTATTCTATCGCATATATCGGCGGTTCGAAAAAAATTGAGTATTCTATGCCAGTCAGTGAAGCCCATTTAATAAAGTAAAAATTGAAAATAAAGTCAAAATTGTTTAAGAAAATTACAAAAAATGTTGGCATCAATTTAAGTTTTTCCGAAAGTATTTCAATTATTTTTTAGGAATTTAAATTTTTCTTCAGCCTGATTCTTAGCAGTTTTTCTGCCAATTGTGGGGACTTCTCGCAAATTTGTGAAAACAATTCAAAAGCTGTTTTTTTGAGCAAATCTATTTGCTACAAATATTCATCAAATATGTCTGAAAAATTAGATTGTTTGCTTTTTCCGCGGAACTGTAAAATTTGAAATTAATTATCATGAATAAATTTTGTACTTTGGCGTCGGATAGAATACAGCCGGCGCATTTTTTTTTTCAATTCAAAATGCTCATTTTAGATTAAAATTTTTCATTTTAATTGAGTGGGCTCATAAATTCACATTTAAATAAATTGAATTTTAAATGGAAACTTAAATTATTTCAATTTGTTTTTTAATGGAAATCACTGATGCCAGTGATAAAACTTTGGAACATATTTTTGTAAGGTTTACAGATAAGGTGTTTCCAAAAAAGCTCATCAAGCGGTTAAAAAATGAAAAATTTCATGTTCTTACACAGCGCGAACCAGTTTGCGTAAATTTAGCTTTAAGAAACCTCATCAGCCGATTAAACTTTTAAATGTTTCTACTATTTTCATTAGTTCAAAATAATCGATAGCATGCATCGTTTCGCTAAAAAATAGTGTCCGAAGCTCATCGAGCCATGAAACTTTTCAAAATAATTCACAGCGCAAATCTGTTCACAAAGTATTAAGTAAGTTTTCTCTTGGGCCCATCAGGTGATGAGGTTTTCAACTATATTTCAAGTTACATCTGCAGCAAAAATTGGTTCACAAAAATGAAATGTTTTTAGACTAAATCCTCAGTCGATGAAAATTTCGGAATATTTCTGATGCTTTTGGAGCGTTGTCATATTGGGTTTCGGCTATTTTAGGACAAAACAAAAAGTTTGTCGTTTTTAGTTCACCTCAGAAAGGAAAACTTTCACAAAATACTTGACAAAAAGACTAGCAGGTTCTTTTTAGCCAAAATTTGATTTGATCTTGTCCAAAGCGTTGACTTTAAAAAACCTTCCAGAACCTTCTTGCAACGTTTACCTGATAGCAATTTCCTAAATGTAACGCTCGAGAGCCGCATTTTATCCATTGCCTCTTATGAGTACAAAAAAGATGTCAGTTGAATAATATTTAGAAGCTAAATTTTGTTCGATATTTCACGATAGCCCGTTACAAAAATGATAGACTTTTAATAGGGAGAAATGGATTCAAAGTAAATTGTAATTATCTAAAGATAGCCGCCAGCGTGTAAAAAGCATAAAATTTTTTGGGTAATTACTATTATAAAAAAAAGAAAGTATTAAATTAAAATATCTATTTTCTTTGAATAGTGCTAGGTTCTGTTTAGCCAGAAGTTGAATTGAGTTGACCTAGTCCTATTGATTTTTAAAAACCTTCTAAACTCAGAATGTATCGAGTTCTAAAATATTTTTCAAAAACTTAGCTGATAGCAATTTTTTAAATGGTACGCTCGGTATATGATTGGAACAAAGGTTGAAACATTGGTAACGAAAAACATTTTACATGAAAAAAAAAAACAGTTTGTGCACCAACGAAAATTTTCAACGTGAAACCTTTACCCTCGCTTCGTTGCGCTGCGAGTTTTCTTTGAAATTAACTACCTGATTTTACGTAGAAAATCGGACCTCAGGCCATAGTTCCTCCCCACCCTAAAATTTCGATTTAGCTTGTTGACGAGCTTATTGAAAAATTTCAAATAACAAAAGCTATAAAACCTTTTTTTAGCAATCCGATATGCAGTCTAAGATTGGTGTTTCAGATAGAGAATACAAAATCGATTTGTCGGTTTAATTGCTAAGTTTGAATTTCTTCACTTAATGGCCATTTTGGTTCCGACTTTCGCAGACATCGAGTCCCCAAAATCAACTTAAATAAGATATTTTACCTCCGATCATTTATTGCAGTATGGAAATTTCCAACTTTTCCATGCTCTGGACTACTTTATAGGCGCTTTAAAGATTTTATCCATACTCCTGAAAACGTAACGCGAATTATTAAAGAGTGACGCAAACTTCAGCACAAGAAAACTGTTCCAAATTGAATTGAGGCTAGCTAACTGGTTGTATTAATTTCGTACGACTCAAATTTTTACACTTGATCTTTGATGTTGTCCAAAATTTACAGTTTTCATTATTTTCGTTTCCCAGCAACTATTCGATATGGACTAAGGTGCAGTCGGGATATTCTAGCTTCGCTCTCATATACATGCAGTCTTGTCTGCTTTTTGTGGCCCTTACTGGCGGCTTCTCATAATCAGTTTATATGTACATACTTCGTGTTTTTCCAACATATGAAAGCATTTTAGTTACCTCAATGAGTCGGTCAGCTGTCCACTCCAAACTACAATGTACTAGTTCTGAGCTGCCAAAACGGAAATTCTTTATGTAGTTCTTATTCGTCCGACTTTCGATATATGTCCGGGTGGTCTTTTTATTCAGATCAATTTTAGAAATGTTGACTGCGTTGGATCATCGCTCCGGAAATCGTGGGATTGCCAGGCGAGTATGCTTGCACTAGACTTAAGTGTAGATTTGGCGCTGGAATAAAACTTGGAAAACACAAACTATTCATGCTTGGCAAATCATTCGCACTCATAATCGTTTTAAATTGAATTGAGGCATTAACCAATTGGTCTTATCAATTCTATAAACGACTCAAATTTTACACTTTGATATTATCAGCCTTAATTTTGTAGTGTGCCAACATTTTATATAACAAAAAAATATTCCAGAATAATAAACGGGCAGTCTGATACGGGCATTCTTGTTTGTTACTACGATAGAATAATTCTTTAACTAAAACCGCCCTAACCAATGACACTTCCTTCTTTTAGAAACAAAATCATTCGTGCCTGGTTGAAAACATTTCGAGTTTTAATGGACCCTGCAAAATTGTAGATCGAAATTAGGAAATCTGATGAAGATGCAGCAATCAACTCGTTTTATGTTGGTCTAATATGTACCGCGTTTTCATACTCGCCATTAAGAGTCAAATACCAAATTAACCAATCAGTATAGAGATTAGACAGCAAACGTACGAAAAAAAACAATTATTAATTATTTATTTCGTACGTATTCTTTGTAATCTCGATTATGATTGGTTAATTTAGTGTATTTCTCTACTTACGGACGAGTATGAAAACGCGGTTGTCTACTTACTTCTACGTAACCCTATAAATTCTATCCCAATATCTTATTCTTAACCCATTGACGGCTGGAATTGAATAAAAAATCAATAATTTTTAATTAAGGTAATTTATCAACAACAAGAAAGAACAAATAGAGTCTGCATTATATGATTATTATGCGTTTTTAATCATGAACACATTACTCTGAGTCCAATATCCCTTTTTGTTTTGAGTTCTAGCACTGACAAGAAATTTCAGATTTTTATTGATTACAGACCGCGGCACCGAAAAGTAGTTGCAGTGACTTTCAAACGACACCGAAGTAGAGAAGGCGTAATCACCGTCATTTCTGCTAAGGATGGTCAAGCTACTTGTTGAAAGCGACCAGAGGATGAGATGGTTTCTATAGATATGTGAGATGCAGCTAATATCACTCACAGCATGGACACTAGGTTTTATGACAGATACGGAAGAAAAAAAAATGCATGCGCTTCAATCTCCACTATCTCATTTACCTCGTTAACAAAGTGGACGAATGTGTCGTACTCGCATGCATTAACAATCCTTGGCAGAGATTCGCATTTGTACTCAACACTTTGATTGTTAGTTTGTCGGACAGTTTTCTTAACTTTGTCCCAATAAACAAACTCAGCTACGTCTTTTCGGAACAGTGCAAAAAATAATGGTATTTGATGGGATTCTAGGTTAAGTTTGATCTTTCTGAAACTTTTCTCCTCTATAAAGAAAACATAAGCAAAGTTGCTGGCTTTGATTAGAATGGTTGGACTTGATCGAAATTCCATTAGAAAAAATGCTTGGATATCGCTGTGTAGATCATCGCTTGTAGTGGCCGCTAATTTGTTTTTTAACATCCTGACGCCATCTTTGTGGTCTTCGAACTTAAATTCGTAAACAATGATTTCATTTCCTACCCTCTTAACGCTGTATAAATCACCAAGCATCTTTGAGTACACGTAACAATCTTCATTACGTTTTTCAACAGAGGGTATTTCAATATTTCTCGCTAATTCATCTGATAATCTGTCAACCAATTGGCTAGTATCTACAGCTATAGAACACCTCGAACCCATAATTTTGCATAGTTTCAATTCTTCAGCTTTCTTTTTGACTTCAGCCACTTGCTGTTTCTTTTCCTTGAACAGCTCTACCATGTGGCCCTCTGAGCAAGACAATAATTCTCGAAGACCACTTTGACAGTGTAACAAGAGTTCATAGTTTTCGGTAGATTCTTGCTCCATGTTAAGAGTTTTCTCGTTTTTTGCTTTGATGCGATCTAAAACATTTTGCTTCAAAACGTCCATTGCCGAGGAAACATCTTGGACTAATTGTTCGAACCCTTTTTTCCGTGTCTCTTTCTGTTTGTTAAGCCTCTCCTTGGTAAGTCTTACCGTTTTCTCAGAGGAATCTAAATCTGACAGTAATTCAAAGACTTCCGATCTCACTTGGGAAGCTCGTTCTTCAATAGGCATTATGTTATGATTTGAATGTTTCAAAATACAGTTCAGACACAGAATTTCCTCACAATTTGTGCAAAACACACAGCACAAATTTTTGTGAGTTGTACACACAGCGGGTTTTAGTGACTTATGGTCCAGGATGTCATGACCTTTCCTCACATGAGCTATGATACAACCTTCACAACTAAATTTAACACCGTCCACAGCCTCCAATTTGTCATTACATGTCGTGCACTGGAACAGTCGTTCTTTCTCGAAAGCTTCAAAACATGATTCGCAATTGATTTCTGTAGTTTTATCAGATCCCGTAACAGAGGACTCTTCATGTTCCGTATCCTGCTCTACAATTGACTCTCCTGAATTTAATTCCATTTCACATGGCTGGCTCAAACAACAGTACTGAAAGAGGATCAGTATCAAAAATAATCAAATTGTAATGGGTATATATAAACATAACCATCGGCCAGGCCAGTTGGAAAAGCGTTAATGATTTCAACAACGCCGCATAAATGATTTCTACATTATTTAACGTTCGACAACTACCTTTGAAACTGATGTCGCTATCTCAATTTGATTGTTAATCAAGAATCGAAATGAACTAATTCGAATTTTTCCTAGCAAAAAACAGGAAAATTCAGTACAAAAAAATTGACTTCGATCTATTACAGCTTAACTTAACAACGACGCGTGAACTTCAACCGCTATTTTTACGCAACGGATATAATTAAGAAAATAAATATGAGAGTTAATTACAGCTAAAATTGAAATAAATTAAATTGTAATAACATTCAATAACAAAGATAACATTTAATCAATTTTTGTCTAACTTATTCGGAAACATTCACACCATCAGAGTCTTCTATTTTTTTGGGAATCATGATCAATGTGGCTTCTACATGGTACCACATTTAACCCATCTACGAGCATTCTTTGATGTAGTCAAAAGTGGGCTGAAAAAGACCGGATTGTCTGATCGATAAAACAAGAAAAAAATTCAGTAAGACCTATTTCAACTTTACTGACCAACCCTAAGGCGCCAAAATATACTAATTTTGAAGGGAAGCGCGCGCCAAACTAGCATTTATCAACAGCAACCACCATAACTTTTCGAAAAAAGATCACAGGTGAAATGTCGTTTCAGCTCAGGATGTCAATATCTTTCACATGGTTCAGAAAAATCTTTTCAAAAGACGTTGGTTAAAAAGTCGAAATTTGTCTAAAAACACAACCGTGCACAAAATATTTGTACGGCATCTTCTAAATCGCGAAAACAATATGCGTATGCTATACATGTCTATCTGAGATCGGTCTTGAAATTTGCTGATGCTGGACACTGGAAAAAGACTTCTTAGCAAATCACTTCGCTCCTCTTCTGAATTAATTTACTAGCTAATATTAAAAACAATTAACAAAACGATTTACTAAGCAAAATAATCAGAAAATTCATTTTTATTTTCCATCCTAAAAATGATCACCACAAGTTCACGAGCTTCACTTGTAGCGACACGCTTCAAGTTCACTCTAACCAAACTGAACTACAGGACAAAAGGTCACAAAACGGTATAAACATATATACATTTATACTCTATCAAGAATGTAGGTTGTACAGTTTCACAAACTCTTGAATTGAGGTGGCTGGCAACGAATGACTGAAAATAGACTTTATTATTAAGTTTCTATCGTCGGTTAGAAGCACTACATTTCTTTTTATGTAATAACTTCCATCTTGTGCCCTCTGTCTAGCTCGCTGCTCGTCTGAAAAATGACTGACTGCAGTTGCTATAATTGCGTCATCATTTTGCCCAGTGAAATTGTTCTTCAAATGAGCATCATGCATCACAACACCTTTCCACGTTTTTACTTTTACAGACGACATTTTATGTCGCATTTGTTCGTCGATATACTGCACTGCTCGGTTTGCACTTTCCGCCCTTTTTCGTCTCTCGTTCTCATTGGATGAAAATCCGAGTCGACTGAAATCTGATGGCACGTGTTTGGCAGTTTGACTCTTCCAGGCCGCAGGATTTCTTTCGTTCGGGTTACTAAGCCCTTCCAGTTCGTTCACAACTAAAAAAGGATAGTCAGTGGCTGGGCAAGTAGCCCAGAAAGTTCGCACCACAATTGTATTTGCAATAAAAGTAGAAAGATAGCCAACAAAAAGTTGGAGAAGAGTCAATGAACGCAAGTAAACATAAAACTTTCGAATTTCAAAGAAACAAATAGATGCCGTTTAAGCTCTCTGAATTTCTATAACAATTTATGATTGGCGCTTTTTTGATACCATGAACCCAACAATAAAAAACTGGATCAATAGTTAAAGTTTTTATTCCGCTGCAAATCTAAAATTAAATTCCACTTTCGAAACTAGAAATCGTTCACGTTTTTTGCGCCAATTCCACGTTCGTATTTGGAGTGCTATTTACGTCACTTTCAGATGAATTTCAATTGAACTCAAAAATTGCATTTATACCAAAGTGCATTCATAAATGCATCAATATGTATTAATGCACATCTGTAGTTATTAGAGACTTTTCCTGATAATCAGCAAGACCTATATAAGAGTTTTCACTACGTTTATTACTCTTAAAAACACTGACTTGTTTTTCGAAAAAATCCAGTTTCGATTTTCAAAGAAAAAAACGAACGCCCTTAGAGCTGATAACCGGATAAAAATCGTTGAGAAAATTGGATCAATAGGTAAAATTTTTATTCCGCTTGAAAATCTGAAAATTAAATTCTATTTTCGACACTAGAGGTCGATCACGTTTTTGTGACCTTTTAACTTTCGCTGTTCAATAGTGGAGTTTGTCTTCCTTTTAACAAAAGGAATGAACTGATCTCAAAAAAATCGTAGGTTAAACCGCAAGAAAATCAAATTAGAGCGTGAACAAATTTTAAGACTTCTCCTGAAAACAGGGGCAATTAAAAAATTCTTAATATGTTCACAGAGAAGAAGCTGCGCTTCGCGAACACTAGCGAGAACACGACGAAAAACAGCTCTATAGAGTGCAAAAGGAAAAGGCCTCTAATTAGTTTTAAAAATGGCTACTGTGATAAACGGACTTCTGTAATTTTTATAGCATTTTAAAACTTTTCCTGAAAAGAAAACAAAAATTTAGTTTTCAAGCAAGAAAATGAACGATTTTTTTTTACGTTTGTACTGTTTTCTCAATAACTAATAAAGTTTCAATGTTGAAAACTTGACATATGATCAATGAAACTTTTTTTACAATAACTGGATAAAAATCGCAAAAAGTGTTTTTAAGGTGCAATTTGCCCATTTAATTAGAGGGCGACAGAGAAGTGTTCTTTTTGCCAAAAACTCCCCGTAAACAATACAAGCAGTTTGTAACTTTGGACCTTAAATTATTCGTTAGAAAAATAAGAATCTTAGCTAAACCCTCGTATTAATTTCACCTTACTTAAAAAGGAAAACAAAAAGCTACTCAGCTACGAAACAAAAAGTAACTACGATTATGTGCAATCTACTATATAAATTGCTGTTACTATATATAATTTCAGTCAGCCTGTTTCTATAAGCCTAACAACATTTTCAGTTCTTTTTCATGAGAAACAAAACCTACATGATGAACTAGCTAAGGATCCTTAGCTTTCCAACGAATACTTTTAGGCCCAAAGTTTCAAAGCAGTGCTCTGTTTACGGGCGATTTTTTGCACTGAGAACACTTCTCTATCGCCTTGTAATTAAATGGCCAAACGGCGCCTTAAAAACAATTTTTACGGTCTTTTTTATCTGGCTATTGACTAGAAAAGAGTTTCATTGATCCTATGTCAAGTTTTCAACCGTAAATCTTCATTAGTTATAGAAAAAACGGCACAAATTTTATCGCTTTAAAACTAAAAGTTGCAACTTCTATGTCCCGTGACTATATAAGAGTCTGAACTACGTTCATGGACTCTAAAAAACTGCTAGTCGAAGTCCTTCAAAAGGCCGCAAAGACAAACTTTCTCACAATTGCCGATAGAGCTCAGAAAATAGTTCAATCAGAGAGCTCGCCGCATAAAAAAATTTTCGGTTTATTTCAACGCCTTTAGCTTTATTATCGAACTCGGGCAAGTCCAGTCTCGGTTTTGCAAAGCAGCAGAATTATCAGCCTTTTACCTGTGAGTGGTATGATGACCTGCAGTCTTCTGGAGTTGACTATTCTCCTCACCAGAGATAGGTGGTCTATGAATGCATTGGTGTCTATCACGACATACATTGGCTCTACTCGCATAGGGTCCGCAGATGCCGTCAGGTAATTCTGCGATAAACAAGACAAATAACCATTATACTGCATCTGGTGGTAGTGTGCGTGCTTACCTAAATTTAGCGTCTCTACCATTGAAAAAATTTAATACAGATAGATGCTTTCGGCTCATCTATCATAGACATCTTGCAGATAACAGTTCATTAGTTCAGCTGTCCGTCAGATTTCATCTAATGCCTTTAGATTATCACATGGACAGATTTCCATTTAAATTATATATGATAAATTTTCTTGAGCCGAGAAAATTCATCGCCCAAACGGCGTGCACTTTTTATGATAATCAAATTGTATATCTATACTAGAGCATATAAAAACATCTAACAATCTCTATTTTGCATGTTCTTCTCAAGGTGTTTCGAACATACACTTGTCTTTTATCCTTTTTCAGCTTACCTCTTTCGACTGCTGTACTTTTAGACTGTGTTCGTGTTGGCTCTCTAGACGCATTTTTTCCATCTGCAGATCAGACATGGACGCCCCGTGTGCCTCATTGCGGACACTATGTGGGTTGTTAAATTGTGATGGGGAAGCGATTGCAGATGACGAGGTCTCTGTGCCCCCTCCCACCCCGGCTGAATTGAGGTCGAAGTTGGTGAGAGTAGTCTGCAGGTCGGCTAGAAGTCCGTCGTCAGATGATTCCTACAAAAATCACAATAAGCACTCAAAACATGCTAAATTACATTATCTAAAGTAATGATTATCCACCATGTTGATGCTCAGAAGTCATGCACAGGAAAAAATAGGCCCAAACTTTGCTTCAGGAGAAAAAATAGGTCACAAAAAGCTTGGTTCAGTGATATAATCCTTGAATAGCAACTCTATGGAAAAATCTTCAGTTGAAATAGTAGTTTCAAGTCAGAAGCGACTATCATCATATTGTTTTTTTTTTCAGTAAAGTATAAAGATGTCCACTTGTCACTAACTGTATTAGCACGTGACGTTCTCCTGTCCACCTCGGCCGCCTCAATCTCATCAGCCCAACTGTACTTGACAGGTGTCTTCAGTTCAGGTAAGCAAGCCTCATACTCGCCTCTGTCTCCGTTGCTCCCTCTGTGGATCACTTTCAGCTCACTTTCCAGGAAATTGGCGAAGTCCAGCAGACAATAACACCTGTGCATATCAATCAATCATAAATCGTCAATTTGCTTATAGTCAATGGAACGACACAATTCAGTTCACCGATCTTTCTATGAAACTCGACTAATAATTTTTACTTTTTGGCAATAATTACATTTACTAGCATTGTTTTTATTTCAAAAACACTTAACGTACATTCTTGCTACGAAATACGCATGCAAGAGAAGAATATAGTTCATCAGAAATCTACAAATAAATTAGTACAAAAATTGCATCAATAAAAAATGAGACTCGAGAAATTTATGGTAAATGTATGCAAACTCTGAATAGGATAGTGAAGGGTAATTTAGATGCGAATAACGCCAACCGGTATGTATCTTCTATTGCAGATCTGTTGTTGCACTCAGTCGATACATAAATAGGGCGATCTCCAAGAGTAGCACATTCGCCATTCATCGGCTTGTACCCTGCCACAGTCACAATTTCAGGCAGAATCATGATAGAAGATGCGTGCTCTGAAGACTCAAAATTGAAATTCATTTGTGATGGGTTGATTTTGGAGTGTATTAGGTTGAACATGTTGGCCCATGATTGCCAGAAAGAGTAGGCCTCGAAGGACACTCCGGCTGCATCTGGAATTGGGAACCAGTACTTGACGTTGCTGATCATCCATGCAGCCAACAACTAAAAATTAATCATGTTCCCATATGAATTAACTTTGGAATAATTCCCATACACATGTCCAATTCAAGTTTTGGTTTCAATCTTCTATAACTGAAGCGTCAAATATTAAGAAAAAAATAGGTAATTTTTAAGGATATTCGTCTCATATCCCTGGACTCAAAGAGTTTAAATAAAATCTTGAACCCGAAACATGCATGATTTTGGTTTTAAAATAAATAAAACATAAGTGCTCGGCATGTTCAAGCAGTTCAAGTCCAGGAATCCGTGGAATTCCGACTGAATGCTGCCTACCTTGATCGGAGGCAACAGCGCCTTCAGAACCTTTCGCGATTCACTTCCCTCGTCAGGCCCATTTCTGTTCGAACTACCAGTAGAAGTCACAGTTGCTGTGTCGAGGAATGAGAGGGAAGTGTGGGGAGGCCAATCGGATAGCACTTGAGCTACTTGGTCTACCATGGTACGAATTGTAATGAGTCCGAAAGATATGGCCGCTTTGTTCACTTCACTGCGACAGGCAGAGGCGGTCTCGTCTACTACCAAGTCTCCGTTGCAGTCTAAACGGATTGAAGCTAGTCAGAACTTGAACGTATACTTTAACTTGATCAACAAATTAAACGTGAAAGATATTTTAGATTATTTTAGAAAACATAGATTATTTTAGAAAACATTGTGAGTTTAGAAATCAATCATTTTCTTTCAATTTTTTAAGTCAACCGAAATGTTATGAGGACTTCTGAATCGGCAAAAAATATATATTTTTAATTTGAAAGAGGTTGAGCATCAAAAAATTACACCCATACTACATCCAGAACAAAATCTATTTTCGGCAAACTTTCTAAAAATAAGTTTGTTGGGTAAAACAGGGTATTTTGCAGCTTCAAGAAGACTCGCAAGTTACAATTTTCAGATCGCTCTGAGCAGAAAACGTCCTTTTACATTTCAAACCTAAAACTTCTCCTGTATATCAGTGGAAATAATCGTGATTCAACTTAAACTAGTGTTGCTTTCATGACTTCGACTAGCAAACTTAATCCCATTCCAAAGCATAGCTTAAGCGGGTGATGAACAGATGGAAGAATAAAGTTACTGACCAATGCCAACAATTCGCTGTTCTAGATTCAAAACAAAAATAAATAAGACGGGCAATACCTCGTGACAGAATACTTTACACAGAGGCGAAGCTGGCTTAACTAACTTGCAAAAAAGGCTAACGGGAGTTATAAAACTGCACGAACAGACCAAAACAATTCAATAAGCTTTCGAAAATGGAAATTAGCCGACCACGGGTTCGAACTTAACTTTGAACTGTTTGTAGAATTTTCATTGCTTGAAAACTTTCACGTACTTACTGTTGTACAGACAACATTTAGGGTTTCAAATAATGTTTTGTTTCAGATTCAATTTGCTACTAAACTTAAATCCGGTAATCACAATTCAAGCTATAGTTAGTAGTAAAAGTAGTTGTTGAAGTTTTTGGGGAGATATTCTCCCAATGGGTTTATGCGTCCATTATTTATGTATTAACATCAAGCTTGAGCTTCAAGTTTTTTCCAACTGTTGCAATGGATTCACTTGCAGACAATTCCCCATGTACATCTTCTATCTAGCTAGCTGAAATTGCTGAAGTAATCCCAGAAAAGTTAACTAATCGACTTTTTGTCAAGTTGTTTTCCGTAATTTTCCCATTGTTTGATGACATTGTTGTATAATATTTTAGCTCTATGGAAATAATTTTCATCGGTTTTGATATATCTGCTATTGTTAACTACGTGCTCATTTGTTGGAGAGTTTTCACATCGTTACAGGTTTGAACGTTTTTGGATATGTCGTATTTGGAACTAATCAGTGCTAAGCACAAGCGAAGATCGAGCACATGTGAGCTTCGTGTCTTTGCAGTCCATTACCCCAGTTTATTGGGTATACGTTTCAATGCCCACTAGCTCGCTCGTGTTTGTTTCCTGGAGTGGCTTCTGCTTTCTATGTCAAGCTCGCAGTTCTCAAAGATAACTGAATTTTTCTTATTTTATGAGGCACGTGCCAGATCACTTCTGTTATACCACTCATTCAACAATTAAAGATTTCAACTCATTCACTCGTTCAACAATCACAGAAATACATCTGACTTTAATTTATTCTCCAAGTGTATTCTGGCGTTTCCCACTTCATCCTCACTCTAGTTACTACCGCCGCCCTTAGTGTCCTTTGATAGTAGAAGTCATCTCGGTCGAAATCGTACATGGCTAGTATACCCCAGCTCTTCCCAAATAGACTGGCGTACTTTTGTTCCAAAACGAAGTAAAATTATTCGGTTTTCCCTCGGCGTTTTTTTTGACTGGCTGTGCCATTATGCCGGGACTTTGAGAATTAACACAACCACCAGTATTAAATAAGCGTTTAGTATTTACCGACCGGTCAATCAGACCACAATAAATGAGTACACGCCTATTGAGGCAAAAACAAAACATTGTCAAAAGAAATTGTTGTCATTGAGCAAAATTTTAAAATTTTGCAACACAAAATACCTGAATTTTGAATTAAAAAAAAAATCTTTTTCTTTGCCTTCGAAGCGACACAAAGTAAAGTACATAAGCCGATAAAACATACGCCGATACCATTTAGGCTGAATTTTAGTTTTGAGTTTTGCAGAAAAAAATTAGATGCCGTTACAGCTTTGAATTTTCAGAAAACTTATTATTCCTCTGGGAAATCTGAAAATTAAATTCCACTTTCGAAACTAGATTTCAATCGCGTTTTATCTTTTCAACGCAGAAACAGAACTAAACTTAAAACACAAAGACGAAGCAGATCTACGCACCACTTGCGATACAACATAAAAATAGCAGTACACGCTAGCAGACAGGAAAAGACAGCCACTAAAAGCAAAAAAAAAAAATAGGTAAGAAACACTTTGAAAATCTATAATTTAAAAAATTCAAAATTTTGTCTGGAATCATGTTCTATTTACGGAAAACACGTCGAGAATAAATGAAAATTCAAAAAAAAATTAAAAACGGCAACTGAGCCGGCGAAACAATTTCCACAAGAAAAAATATAATTGTCATGAAAAACTTTCAACTATAAAGTCTAGTCTAAAAATTTCAACATTTTGGGCCGCCAGGAATAAATGAAAATAATCGCAAGCGTAAAAAAAACCGTAAGTCAAACTGCGAATAAGTACATTTCAGTCTGAACAAATTTTAAGACTTATCCTGGGGAAAAACGTAACAAAAATCATCGCGACCTATATAAGAGTCAGAACAAAGCTCATCAACTCTGGAAATTTGTACAAGCGTCTTCAGGAAACCAAACAATTGTTGCTTGTGTACGAGTTGTAGGGTCGCAAAATCCTTGAAGAAAAACCAAAGCAAGTACACAAGGCCAGGGCTAGAAGCTTTTATAAATAACAAAAAAAAAATTGTATCTACAGCAAAAATTACTGATAGAACATGAAAATTTCCCACTATGGCAAGTAAGCAGACAAACGAAAAAAAATCATATTTTCGCGGGAAAAATTTTCTATTTCAACATACCGAAACAAAACAAATCGCGTTACCTCTATGCCACGTGAGATGTCTCGAAGTTGCTATTTGCTAATGTTCACCTTCACAATTCCTTACAGATTTGCAGGAAAAGCTGTTCACGGGGAAAAAAGTGTCAAGTGTAATCAACTTTATTTCATCGCACATAATTCACACTCAAGTTACAGTTCACAATGTGAAGGTCCAAAAGAAGATTGAAAAGCTGTCTGGCAGGTAGATAGAAAATCGATTTTCTCGTATTTGCTAATTCGAGCCTCCTCTTATGAACATAGCCAACAGTGAAACGACAACCAACATAAAAAGCACATTTCGAATAGAACGCATATTAAAAAAGCAAACATGCTCAAAATGTATCTGTTGGAGTACTTCCAACCAAGGGGTTTAGTAGATGATTCCTGTGAACAAAGTTATTTACAGGAAAAACAAGTCTATTACCCAAGTGTAGTAGTCAACAGGCAGTTAGAAAAGAGTCATGAACGCAAAGAAATCGAAAAACCGGATTTAGTTTTTTTGAAAAACTTTAACTTTCGAATTTCAAACTGAAAAATATACGGTCTTCAAGCTCAATGAATTTCAAGCAGAATTAATGGTTGACACTCTTTTGATTAAATTGCCCCAATTTGAGAAAACTGGATCAATAGTAAAGTTTTTATTCCGCTGGGAAATCTACTGAAAAACAAAATCCACTTTCGAAACCAGAAGTCGATCGTGTTTTACGCGACTTTCAAACTTTTGCTTTTCGATAGGGGGGTTTGCTTTCTTTCAACAATGGAAAAGAACTGAAGTAGAAAAATCAAATTCAAACCGCGAAAAATCAAATCCTGTTTGAACGAAATCGGACATTGCAAAGAAATTTCTTTTTTCACTGATATGGCCTATCATGTTAAGTGCTTTTATTGATAGACCCAGGGGCGGATTTAGGGGGGGCGGACGCCCCCCCCTCCCTTCAGGGACTCGACCCCCTGCCGACTCAAAGGGTCCCCCCTTTGATACTTTTTCAGAAATCCATTTTTGGCCGACCGACCCTAAATTTTTTCTCTAAAAAAAAAAAAGGTCATCAAAATTTTCGATTTTTTTTTGAAAATCCGCCCCCCTCGAGAAAATCCTAGATCCTCCCCTGGATAGACCTCAACTTTTCTTATGGTGGCGCCATTCAATGTTGGTTCTTTGTGTCGCAATAATGGCATAAAGTATCTGGATTAACAATTTTCTTGTTTGAACTAACTGGTATTATGGAGACTCATGTAATTAGCAAACATGTTATCAACAAGAGCATCTCTTCCACAAAAAAAGCTATTTCTAACTTGAATTTAGGATGTTTTTAAATAATTACGCCATAGATTGTTTCAAACTTTAATGAACTCTCAAACTTAAAATCACTAACATTATAAATTCGCTAAAATTAAAACATTTGAACTATATGAATTTGCTTAAATTTAAATCTCAAGACAAAATATTTAGGTGTTTTGCTTTTCCCGCAAGTATGGAATCAACCCACAGAACAAAAACAATAAGCAGCTTTGGTGGTAAATTCCAGCGCATTTTTCCTGTATTTTATTTAAATGACCAGAAGTATACTTTCATTGCTAGAATTCATAACGGGGAAAGTAGCAGTACTACTTGAAAATGTATGCCGTGTAAGTAAGGTGAGGTTAAAGCCTGACCTCGTTTGGATGTGTTGTAGATGGCGAATATGTTGATGATGATGAGTTGGATGAGTCTCTCGTCTGGCATGCTCACTGGCCTGTGACTCAGTAGAATCTTGAACTCCTCCTCCGTCTGTGAACACAGACCACCAAACCCATCCAGACTAAAAATATCAGCGAGATACTTTTAAAACATTAATAATGGCATTGGTATTTGTATATAAATCAATCTCAGACTTGAAAAACATTTCTTTGTATAAAACATTCAAAATGATCTCTCGAAACGAAACGAGTCGCATTAAAATAAAGCTGAACAAGTTTCCAGTAACCCTACTCATTTTGATAAAAATGACTCCTGTAGAACTTGAACTTTTCATACTAAAGCAGTGAAAAATAAGTATGAGCTTATTTCAATACATCAAAATGATTTAGAAGATAACTTACCCTATTCCTGTGAAAAGGATGCCTTGGATATTGAGGAAGCTCAGAACAAGCTGTTTGGTCAGCTGAAACACAGTCACCACTCAACACAGAGAAAACGACGCGAATTTAGGTACTAACGGTAGAAACTGACAGACAATGATTAGCAGATCAGATAATTTGGCAGATTAAAAGAGAAGTAAAAATATGAACAAAATCAAGTTTTTTCTCTAAATACCCATGTTGGGAAGTGTTGAGGCTGAAAAATAATTTGACGAAATTGGAACGAAACATTCTTCAAAATCATTTGCTAAACAGCGTAAATGAGGAATGAACCATTCCACTTTTCCACTTTATTGCCATAATGCATGTTTCCCTGATACTTTTGACAGAGTGCTTTGCCGAGAGTATGGACAGCATATGGTGCCGGGGGAGGGGGTAAAGGGAACGTTTAATGAGTGCAATTGTAATAATCACGTGACCAAAAAAGGCCCAGAAATTCTCCTGCTAATTTTGAAAACAGCAACAACAACATTGCACTTGTTCGGCCGACTACTCACAGCCGAGTGTTCCTTCTGCATGAGCATCTCCTTGTGGACTGAGGCGGTGAGAGCTTTGATCTGTCTGTTCAACTCATTCACATCCTCCTCATTCACCCTCGAAGATTGACCACCTTCAGCTGGTAAAAAAAAAACAATCAATTTGAACAGAGCGATACATTCAAAATTAAAACTTCTTATTTCTTGTATATTCAATAAAAAAACTCAACCAGAGCGCTGTCTTCTCTAATTTTACCATGTAATTTATACACTCCAATGACTTTCCTTGCCACAGCAAAACTTTCCTTTTTTGGAATCTATAAAACACGCAAAATTACCAAGAAGAGTTAGCCCGACTTCAGCGTAGATTCAAAGCAGTCACAGGTTAATATTAATGCTTATCGGAGTAACATCTTGTTTTCATGTGAGTAAAATAGAGAAACGGACTATGCTTAAACAGACTGGATAGCTTTTCATAGATCCTCAGCGACTCACAGAAACAACAATTATTTTTAATAATTGGTTGTTATTATTATTACAGTTGCTAGCTTATAATAATATATCATAAGTTAGTAACTCACATGGAAACAGCCAACCATTTTAATGAAAAATTATTCTGGGACTTGAGTGGTTAAATGAAACATGTGATCAAGTCAATTTATTCAATCATTACTGTTTTTTTTTCAATCAAACTATTATAAGCTAGCAACTCACAGGGAAAAAGACTGAGACCGAGTATTTAAGTAAGGACAGACCTCTTGAACTGCTGTTGTTGTCGCCACCATCTCTGACCCATATCAACCTGCCTCTTCCCTTGTAGACAGCTATGATGTCCCTCCTCTGTCTGCTGATCCTCTGCTCAACTTCTGCTCTCTCGCTCTCCTGACTGCCCTTCACCTTCTTGCTCACATCTTCGAACATCACATTCAGACTCTCACGCGCAGCTGCAACGCAAAAAATCGCAAATCAAATGATATAATTCGCATATGCTCGAAGTTGTTTCGAACACCCCAAATAGTAACACGTGCAGCCGGCTGACTGAAGTCAATTTCGAGGCTATAACTGAAAAAACGAACACAGAGGCGAATCAAAGCTTCGCACTATTCCCAATACAAAACACATGAAAGCTAGCCTAAAGAACAAAATCAACGCGTTCGAAAAAAAATTTCACGGTTGAGTTGAGTCGAAAAAAATTTCTCCAAATAAATTTTGAGCTACAAACATTTTCAAAAGTTTTCACACTTCACATTCCCTAGCACACACAGACATACAATTTGTTATCGCCCTTCAGACGACGCAATATGAGGCGAATAAGCTGATACAAGACTAGTCGAAACCTTTGAAGACGAATCAATATTTTGAGCGAAAAAAGAAGGGATATTTATAAAATCAGGTAGTTTACCAAAATATTCATGAAACTCCAATAACCCAAAAATTTATATTGCAGAAATACTGAAAACATATTTATTGATCAGATGTCAGATTCAAGTATTTGTTTTGCGACTTCTGATTTGCGAAATAATTAGGGCATTTTGATTAACTGGCTGTAACAGTTGCGAAGCCGAGATTCGCACCACTTGCGATACAATTCAAGACAACGGCTATTATTCAAAAAAAATCAAAAAGTCTAAAAACGTATATCTATCAGAACAAAAAGAATAATTTTGACAGAAAAATATGGCAAGGCAACCAAAAATAAAACTTGTATCGAGAGAAAAATTATCAAGCGGTAACAAAGCCGAAAACACCAGAGTAGAAACCCTCGGGGCAGAAAAAATTCAATAAGCCCTAAAAACCAAGTCTCCCTCCCCCAACAAACACACAATCACGCACAATAAAACCCTTTTACTCATAAAAGAACCAACATTAGGTAACTAAGACGATATTACACACGGCGAAACCAATTAAGCCAAAAATTAAGCCTTAAATCGAGTTGGTAAAGTTAAAACTAACATAAGAAGAAGAACTTGAATCGGACTGATCGTTATTATAAAACCATAAAATAAAATTTTCTGTTTGATTATTTTCAATGAAGGAGACCCGTAGATGAATCCTGTGAACACAGATATTCAAGGGAAAAATCAAGTACCCGGTTATAAAGACTCAGCACGACGCATAAAAATGTCTACTACGTTTGATGACACACACATGAGAAGCCTACGAAGTGCTTTAAACAAGCTTTATGATTTCTCCCCTAATTCACTGATACCAAAAAAAGTGATTCGGTTATTAAAGCCATTAAGACATTTTTTTGCAGTTTTTCATTAAGTTGCATGAACTTTTTTTATTCGAGCGTATTTTAAGCGGTTTATCGAAATTTTACTTTTCAAGTTAATACATCGCTAATTAATTACAAACGGTTAAAACGAACAAAATGAAATGCTCAACTCGTTTATCTTAAATCGGGTTAACTTTACACAAAAAATGAAAAAGACAACAATTACTCAATAATTTACTATCACTATCATGGTGCACATTACTTTGTAAAAAATCCGACCCAACTTTCACCTTTAAAACCTTTTGTGACATCCCTTCATGATGTCATTCATTCTATATTAGCCATTCTAACTTAATAGATTACATAATTCACCTTGACGTTAAAATAGAGCTGCATCATATATTTACTTAATATTGATGGTAATTAAGACCAATGAGAGGAGATTTATACCGAGCTACTAATCAATTGGGTAGACTTGAAGAGAATAAAATATCAGAATCATGCTCTAACTTGCGCCGATCGACTAGCGATATTCCAGAAGTTAAGAACCGAATCCTGCGTCCTTAAAAGCAAGATAAGTCTTAACCGCTCGAGACATATAAATTATGGAAACAAGACATAACAATTGATAGCCAGTAGCGCTAATTAATATTGGAACAGCTTACAACATTATCAATAAACGACGATACAGCTGTCCACAGCCATCCGGAGGGACACTATATCACATGGTGACTGTCGCGGAAGATTCTACTTCTGGATTCACCAAAAGTCATCGGCAATTGCAATCTTCATCACACGAGCGGACAACGACAACCGCACTTTGCTGAAACAGAACAGGGCAACACAACCCGTTTCACCCAGCAACGCTCAGATGTGGAAAGCAGAGCAACTTTCAGCGAACAACCGAGACAGACAGGGAGAAAAAGAAGACAGTCTCAACTTCTCAACATCTCCGGGCGGAAAGTCTCTCCAATCTACAGAAGCAGATGTGGATTGTGACCTACAACATCACTACTTCTTGTTCCAGTCAGAAGGCAGGACAGCTGAGCTACTGACAAGGCAGACAAAGAAAACAGATCTACAGGTTTTTCAACAATCAACAAAACAGTTAGTTAAAAACAAACTCAAAACTCAAACTTGCAGTAAATTGATATAATTGTCATTAAGTTTCCCCGCCATAGAAGTGAAGTAACGGAAACTTTAGCACAACCATATAATTGCATCAATAAACCTGATCAGTGATACTGCTAGCCTTCTTTAACAGCTAATTTATATAACAAACTCCCTAGTGTTCCCCCTAAATTGAATAAGTGCTGTATCTTATCATCAACTGTATCACCCTGATATTCATTCAATTGTAATAAGATGGCACACGCGCAAATTTCGGTCGAACTTTACGGAGGAACGGAAACAGATGACTTTCAGCAGTTTGAGCAATTGTTCCGAGGATACATCGGAGTAGCGGGAATCGACCCTGGCCAACAAGCGAACTTCTTACAACTACATCTACGAGAAGCGGCACTACGGTTTTACCAGACGCTGCCAGCAGCAATAAGAGCGAACGTGGAGAACAGCCTCGCAGCTCTAAGGGATCACTTTTGCAATCCGCAGCTCCAGGAAGTCCACGTACTGAAGTTAGAACAGCTCCGGTACGACTCTTAAAACCGATTCACCCGAGAACTTCTTGGTGAACTTGACGAATAAAGCGCAACGAGCGTATCCAACGCCAGATTTGCCAGCTGTCGAACCAATCGATGTTGCATTAAACGGAGCACCATTAGTAGCAGACACGGCGAGATTTCATCGAGAAACTGCACAAAGACAAGAAAGAATAGATGCAGTAAATGATAATCGCAATGAACAAGTTAGACGATTGTTCATAAAAGGAATGCCAAACTGGCTACGATCAAAATTGATGGAGCAACCACAAGCAACTACTGTCCAAGAATTGTGTAATTTGACAAAGAAGCAAATCAGGATTCGAGAAGTATGCCGAAAAGAAGATTACCCGGAAGACGGATTTAATGAAGTAAATGACAGAGTCTCAGAAAATTTAATCAGTGCTCTCACAAAATTGTCCACAAATCAGGAACAAATTGAGAAGCAGATCAACGAAATGAGATCACAAATAGCTGAGCAGTCAAAGAAACAATCGAATCCGCCTTTTCAACAAAACAAGAACAACACCAACCAAAATGGTCAGTTTAGTGGTAATCAAAATCAAAATAATTTGCCTGGACAGCAACAAAGTGGCAGGAAAGGAAAAAACAGAAATAATTGGCAACATCAATTTGGATTTAGAAATAATCAGCCTAATTTCCAAAATACGGGACCAATTGCACCTCAGCAATATCCTCCATGGTACCTATACCAACAGTACCAAAATATGCAGCAAAATCCACCGATAGTGCAAATCCAACCAGCACAGGTACAACCAAACGCGAACTACCTGCAACAACAACAACACTTCACTGGAAATCAGACAGCGCAAGCTAAAATTCAATTCCCCGATGGACCTTCTGCACCAAGGGTTCGACCAGCAAAACGCTGCGACATCTGTGGAAAGATTTATCACACAGCAAGTCAATGCTGGTGGAGACAAAAACCACAAGAACAAGATACAACGCTCATGTTTCCAAATGAGCTAAAAAACTAATAAAGCCACCGAGTCAGCCCCCCAAATCATTTCAATCATCTAAATCATCAAAACAATCAATTCAACCCGATGAGATAATCAACCTTTACGCAATAATTCCAGCGGAAGGAACAGTTTTGACGTACACAAAGTTACGATTCTCATTGCGATTACAAAGAAGAGCCCTGGTTGATACAGGAGCCTGCGCAAATGTCATTTCAAAACAGACATTCGACGACTTAAAAGATGAAAAATCTCTATACCGCCCTCTTAAAATAAGTGAATCGAAACTTAAGCGAGTACGAATGGCAGGAGGACAACTCGTGCCAATTGAAACAGAAGTAACAATAGAATTTAGATTGGCAGATATGACATTTGTAGAATCTTTTCTCGTTCTACACGCGGCCAACTCAATAATTCTAGGAAATCCGTTCTACAAAAAACACCACATTCATGTCTGTGCCAAGTATACTTTACTTCATTTCCCAGACCTGACTCTGCAAATTAACAAGATAAAACCTCCAAACGAACCTAGAAGAATTAATCGAGTGAAAAAATTCCCTCTGACTCTAACAAAACGTCAAACAATAGCTCCGCATCAAACAATTCTTGTAGAATGTCATTTAAAGGACGCATGCCAGGACATGGCAAAAACAACCTGAATCGTAATCCCATCGAAAGAATTTGAAGAAAATTGCGAAATTGCATTCACTTCCTCAATTAGTGAAGCTATGAAAAATAACCTGCTGTACATAACTGCATTTAACATCACTGATCACCACGTGACCTTGCCTTTCAAAACTGAAACTGGAAAATTTTCAATTCTGACCCTAAAAGAAGCCGAAAATCTCATACCAATTGATGCAGAAATGCTTGCTTTTGCAAAAATGAATAATCCAGACGATATTGAAATGGGCATTAACGAGGTAATTCAGCAAAATTGTGATAATCAGCAGTCTCAACAGCAACGCCAACCCGAGTATGAAAAATTTTGGTTTCCTACACCTGAAACATGTCAAAACCCTGAATTACTTCCACAAATCCAACGTGACATTTACGACCAAATTCTTCATTTTCAAGGTCTCGAAAAA